ATGAACATACTAGAATGGAGAGTAAAAACAGCACTCCCTAAATTCCCCAAGGAGCTTTTGGGGAGAATTTCTCTCAAAGTCAGAGATACACATCTGAAGACTATGGATGTAAAACCCTCAAGAAATAAAAGTAAACAATAACAGTGCAGGATTATGTAACATGAAGCAGGAGTCATTCCTGACACTGAGAATGTTTCAACATAGGAAAAAATTCAACCACTACACTACACCACATAAGAACACAAGAAGAAAAATACATGATTATCTCAACTAACACAGACAAGGCTTTTAAGAAGTTCAACATTCTTTTAAAATAAAAATCCTCAAAAAAAAAAAAAGGAACAGAAGTAAACTACCTCAACATCGTAAAAGTTGTATGTAAAGCCCAAGGCAAACATGCTCAACTGCCAAACCAAAGATTTCCGTGTCCACACGGGGGCAGGCAAGGGCTGACCTTCACCTCATCTACTCAACTTACTGCGGGAAGCCCAGAGCAGAACAACTGGGTAATAAAAACAAACAAAATACACTCAAGTTTATGTACAGGAAATAAAAGTATCTGTTTGCAGATGACATGACATTATATATAGAAACCTCTAATATTTACACACATACACAATCACTGTCAGATCTGTTTAAACACATTCAGCAAAGGAAATGAAAAATCCATAAACAAAGTATCATTTGTCCAAAAGGGAATTAGACAGTTCCATTTACAAGAGAATCCAAATGGTAAGTCACTTAGGAATAAACTCAACCAATTATATGAAAATCTGTTTTAATGAAAATGAGTAAAATTTCTAAAACTAAAGATGATAAGAATAAAAGGAAAGACATCCCATATTCATGAATTAATACAAAGATGCCCATATTAGCAAAAGTGGCGACCGGATGCAACGCAATCCATATCATCTCAATCACTTTTTCCCCCAGAAATACAGAACAAATCCTAAAGTGCATGAAAATCTGGAGACCAAGCACAGTGAAAACAAACTTCGAAGGAAGTAAGGCTTCGACTCGATTCCAAATACATAACAAGGTGACAGTAAACCAGAGACCAGGACTTGCATAAACAGAGACACACAGAGTATCTGAACAAAACAGATGCCAGAAAGAAACCCCCACATCCTGATCAAATGAGCTTTGACAGAGTGCCAAGTGTATATAATGGAAAGGAGCTGCTTTTTTTTAATCAACAATGGTGCAGGGAAAATGGAATATACACATGCAAAAGAATGAAGTAGGACAGTTTGCTTATATCATTTCCTAACACAAAAATCAACTAACTCACTGTGGATTAAAAGTAAATATGCAACACTTGTAACAGTAAATAAACCTAGTAGCAGAAATTATGGGGGAAAGGTTTACAACACTGCATTTAGCACCAATTTCTTGCATGTAATATCAAAATGAAAGAGAATAAAACCAAAGTACATGAATGAACTACATACAACTGAAAAATACCTGCACGTCAAAGAAAACAATTGACAGTGAAGAGGACACCTACAGAAAGAGAGGACATATGTTCAAACCACAGACCTGTTAAGATGTTCCTATCAAGTGTGTGTAATGATAAACCTCAAAACCTAAAAGCCGCAATTTAAATGATGGGCATAGGACTGAACAGACATGCCAAGGAAAACATCTGAATAGGAAACCAGCACAAGAAAAGATACACCAATAAGATAATTACTGTATCAATAATTAGATAAATGCAAGTCAAAACCAAAATGAGTTAGCTCTTATCTGTTACACTCACTTTTATAAATCAGAAAATGACCGATGTTTTGCGATGATGTACAGAAACTGAAGCATTTATATAGGATTGGTGGTGATACAAAATGGTTCAGTCACTATGGAAAATGGTATGGAGGGCCCAGGAAAATTAAAAACAGAATTGTGATATGATCCAATAATCCCACTTCTTGCAACAACATGGATGGAGCTAGAGGGTAGTGTGCTCAGTGAAATAAGCCAGGCGGAGAAAGACAAATAATTTCACTCATCTGTGGAGTGTAAGAACAAAGAAAAAACTGAAGGAACAAAACAGCAGCAGACTCACCGAACCCAAGAATGGACTAAGTTACCAAAGGGAAAGGGACTGGGGAGGGTGGGTGGGAAGGGAGGGACAAGGGGAATAAGGGGCCTTACGATCAGCACACATAATGTGGGGGGGTGGGGCACGGGGAAGGCAGCACAGCACAGAGAAGACAAGCAGTGACTCCACAGCATCTTACTACGCTGATGGACAGTGACTGTAATGGGGTATGTGGTGGGGACTTGATAATAGAGGGAGTCTAGTAACCATAATGTTGCTCATGCCATGTATGTATTTTTTCAGCCATTTAAAAGAAAAAGGAAATCCCAGCATTTGCAATAATGTGGATGGACCTTGAAAGATCATGCTAAGTGGAAGAAGTCAGACAAACACAGATACTTCGTGATGTCACTTACCTGTGGAATTAAAAAAAAAACTCACAGAAAAAGGTATCAGACTCGTGGTGAATGGAGACAAGGTGTAGGCGCAGAGGGAACTGGGGGAAGGCGGCCAAAGGGTACAAACATCCAGCATAAGGTACATGAGAACGGGGGTGGGGAGGAACCGTGAACACAGGGGGGGCAGCTCACCCGGCTGAAGGAGGCAGGGGAGCTCAGGGGGTCGGTCCTGAGAGGCGTCAGCACCGGCAGAAATCCCTTTTCTTCTTTTTCTTTTCTTTTTACTCTATCTACTGAATATGGATGTTAGCTGAACACGTGCTGATCATTTCACAGTGTATGTCCATAAAACCATCCTCCTGTACATCAGGATCAAATACGCTGATGCACGTCACTCACTGCGCAAGAGAACTGGGAAGCACACATCCACGGGACCAAACCGAAGGGCCTAAGGTGCGCCTGTGCACAGTCAACCAACATTTGACAAGGGATGCAGAATACTCAATGAAGGAAAAGCAGCCTCTTCAATAAATGCCAAAGAGAAATCTGGATATTCATATGCAAAAGATGCAACTGGAGCCCTATTTTACCCCACTCACTAAAAATTTATCTGGAGATGTATTGAAGACTTCAACTTAAGACTTGAAACCAGAAAACTCCTAGAAGTAAACATCTGGAGAAAAGTTCTTTGACACTGGTCTTGGCAATGTCAGATACGGCAGCAAGACCAGAAGCTACGCAAGTAAAAAGAGACAAGTAGGACCACATCAAACTGGTAAAAAATTAAAAGCTACCCAATAGCTAAAGAAACAACCAATAAAGTGAACAGGCAACCTACAGCATGTCAGAAAGTACTGGCAGAACATGGATCTGATAAGGGGTTAATATCCAACATATACGATTTCACGTAAGATGATAGCAAAAAAAATCTGATTAAAAAATGGGCAGAAGACCCAAATAGTCCTTTTCCCAAGACAGATTTTGAATGACCAACAAACACATGAAAAGATGTTCAACACTGCTGCTCATCAGGGAAATGCCCACAGAAACCACAGTAAACTCTCTCTTCATACCTGTTAGAATGGCTACTATCAAAGGGAGGTACAAGGGCTGGTGAGGGTGCAGGAAAAAAAAAAGGATCCTGTGTAGTGTCACAGGAATGTCAACTGTTATGGTCACTCTGGAAAAGTTATGAGGACTCTTCACAAATTAAAACCACAACTACCATGTAATTCAGCAATTCCACTTCTGGGTGTGTATCTGAAGGTGATGAAATCAGGATTGCAAAGCAATGTATGCAGTCTGTGTATCCACTGCACTGTTGTTTACATAAACTATTAAGACATGGAAAAAATTCAAGCATCCATCAATGGATGCATGAAATGTGCGCTATATCTTTAAACACACATGCACACATACAATGGAATCCTATTTAGTCATCAAGGAGGGAGGCCTGTCATTTGTAACCAGTGGATAAATCCTGAGGTCTTTAAGCTAAGTGAAATAAGCCAGAGAAACACAAATACTACATGATTGGACTTGTATGTAGAATATTAAAAAAAAAAAAACCAAAGGCACAAAGCAGACAGGTGGTTGCGGGGGGTGGGGGGTGGGAGGAAGGGGGACATGAAAACTGTACCAACTCCCAAGTACAATATGAATTAACTTCTGGGGACATAAAATGTTTAACACAACCCTTTGAAATGGGCCAGAAACAGAGTTTTTACAAGTTACTGCTCATAAAATTAACAGGGCAACTGTCACCCAAACAGGGACCATGAAAATAACAAACTGTCAGAAGACACTTAACAAAGATGGGCAGTTATGAGGGACCATGAGCCGTTTCCCCTGGAGGCGCCAGTGGGCCATCAACAAGGCACTGCTGAGGCGGCTCAGCCTGTTAGTGCCGGTGCAATTCTTCATCTTCACGTCATCCAGGTCATGAAACGGCCCTCCACCACTCCTTTCTCATAAAAAGTCCTTGCTTCCCTGCACAGGTGAGACATTTTTTTCTGGTGGCTGCTCTGCAGTCCCCAAATTGCAATTCTAAGACCCCCAAATAAAGGCCTTGTTTTCTTTTTCAGTTTTTCCTGCTCTTTCTCTGTCTATAGTGTGGATTTCAGAATTTAAGATGGGGTGAACACTATCTGACGCCACTGAATTTCTGAAAGTACCACGAATCTAGGGTGAAAGATGCAGATCACTGCAGAAAGCGGAGGTTAAAGTCAAAATACAACATCACAAAGATTGTTTCTAGACCAGAAAACCCCTGATCTTTTCCTTAACTCAGGGATCTGACACACTGTCCTACAAAGCAGAAGCCTCCAGGAGACATTCTTCAAACTAAGGGAATAAAAGTTTTGAGAGCAGATTAGGAATTCTGGAAAGCAGCTCTTATCCTCACCCACAAAGACCATGTTCCTGTAGTTCTCCTGCATCACGTCCCGGTACAAGGCCCGCTGGGCGGGGTCCAGGCATTCCCACTCCTCCTGGGAGAACCTGACGGCCACGTCCCTGAAGGTCAACAGTCCCTGATGTGTAAAGAACAAAGAAAAGAACGACCAAGTTTACACAGTGGCTATGAAGAGAGTTCATAATTTAACCCAAAGTGCACAGAGAAGGGTAAGGGCACTGATTAGGACCTGGGGGGGTGACCTGCATCACCTTACACAAGCACTCATCTATATGATCTTCCCTTAATGCTGAGCAAAACGGATGATGTAAATACACAAAACCACTGTAGATCCTATGATTAGATCCTATGATTATATGGGGGATGACATATATAATTGAGGAATCAATACAAGCATATATATTTTTATGTACTAAATTTATAGCTGACCTGTTTTATTTCTCAATGGCAAAGTCATGGTGCATTAAAGTGTACCTCTCAAATTTAATACAATACGACAATGCACTGGAGATCTTTAAACTGAGATGATGAGTCAGGTATTCTGGTCTGGGTCCTGAGTTTCTGCATTTCCAGCAGGCTCACCAATGATGCTAAGGGCCACATTTTTGAGTTACAAAGCATGGGAAAATATTCATGGGGCTTTGAACTAGAAGCTTTATGGCAAATGCAGTCTCTAGTATCACAACAAGAAAGGCAACCATAACCTTTTTAGAATTTACTATATGCTAGATGGCGCTCTAACAGCTTTTCATGAACTGATGCATAATACATAAGAATAATCCATGAAAAAAATATTAATCTCCCTCATTTATGAGAATATTTTGTTAAGCATCCAGTAAATGGTAGAGCCTGGGTTTTAACCCAGTTTACCTAACCTAGAATTTATCCAAGAAGGCACTTGTATCAATATTTACAACCATACTGTCACACTGGATTTATTGTCCAGTCAGATTTTTCTCATTTACAGAGCAGGCTCTTCAGCCAGGACTTGACTGCATAGTCACGGAAGGACATCTCCATCGAGACTCACATTAACAGGCATAGACATAAGCTGACTACTGTTCCCTCCAGGTGGGTTCGGATCGCAAATACCATGAAAAGTACTAATGACCAAAAATTAGGGAGCAAATTCCAGAAACTTTAGTACATTCCCGTACTTTAACAGTACTAAACACTGGTACCACACAGATGGCTCAGTAAGTCCTCCTGTGGAAACATCTCCAAATTAGCCTGCAACACGCAACGATACAGGAAACAATATTTACGTTAAGCAAACCTAAAAGGACAATTTAACACACCGTGATCCTGTGGTGGGGACTCTAAATACAATACCCATTTTACAGACAGGGGAACAGATGCACAAACAGACGCACAGATAAACCACGTGGCGGAAGCCACACGAGAGGGGACTGCGGGGGCGCCGACCCGGACCCCCGCCCCCGGAGCTTCTGCGGCCTCCACGCCAGGCCACCTCCAGTGACGCCCACGAGGACACAAAGCTCAGAGCGTCGCACCGGAGTGGGGTCTCCTGAAGAGCGGAGCGTAAGGGGTCAGGGAGGGGGCTTGGCTTTGTTATTTTATTTCTAGTCCCTGATTTTCAAATCCATTCTTAGTTACTGCTATTTATAAAACGATACAGAAACTTTTATGTGAATATGAAACTAATGTGAAGTACAGAACAGATTAAAAACAGAGTTTATAAAAGAAAACTCATCTAACCTCTTAGATTTCTGAATATCTAAGCATTTCTAAATATTGCTTAGATGGAAAAATTTGAAATATAAGCATCAGGGGAAAAAGCAATTAGTTGATTACCTACAAAGATGCAGGGACTACAGTCAATATGATGTGATGCTTGAAAAAAAGTAAATGTCAGAACATGGGACGCAGTCATGCTTAACTTTTAAATATGTACCTTAAATCATGTACTTGTAAAAGATAAGGAAATATAAATAAATGGGAAAAAGGCCCTGCGGAGACCACACCTTGTGGAAAGCCACTCCCACCACCCTGGTGTGGACAGATTCCATCCCACATTAGTTTCAATGCAAATGCATCATTATGCATACAATGCTCAAACAAACCTAATGATCTCTACTTGTTTTATTAATGCCTGCCTTTTTCTTTGGTAGATCGAAAACTACTTCCATTATAAGTCAAACCTGTGAACCTGTATTACGGATTCCCTCTTCAAGGCTTCTGTCTTCCTCACCAGAATCACTCCACTTCTACTATGTGTTTAGACTATTTTCACTTGAGTTTCAACCAAAGGTGTGAAGAAAACATCGTCACTTTCTTCCCTGAAAAACTTTAGGAAATAACCCCGAGAGAACTGTGAAAGCTTAGAGGGCTCTTGCTCCGGCCCCTGACGGGCAGGCTGAGGGTCTCCGGCAGGAGCCGGCCAGGCGAGGACACGGGGTCACCTTAACATGGGAAAAGACTTCTTCAAAAGAACAAAACACCTTAACCATAAGGAAGAAATGACAAATTGATCCTATTTGAATTAAGAGTTGGTGCTCAGCAAAAGGCACCTAGACAGGTATTAGCTGGACAGATGGCGGAGCGGTGGAACGGGCACCAGGAATAGACTCACAGTCTGCATGTGTGAGTGTCTCCTGTAAATCACAAGGGGAAGACAGGCAGCACAACTGGGAAAAAATGGTAAAATAAATGAACAGACACTTCAGAAGAAGGGTTTACCCAGTGGTTAATAGACATGGGAAAGGCTGCTCACGTTCCTTACTCATCAAGCAAATGCAAATAAAGCCACCACCAGGGACCCCTGCACCGTCACCCGATGCTACAACAGGAATGACAGAGAACATCACCGGGGGACGAGGAGGCAAGTAAACCAAGAATATCATCACCTGCTGCCGGGTGTGAAACGAACACACACATTTTTGGAAAATTGTCTCTTAAAGCTGAACAGATGTAAACCTCAGAACCAACATCACCACGACTGGGCATAGATCAAAGGGAAAGTGCTACCAAGTCGACACACATTGCAGCACTTGCAAACCAGCGCTGCTCCCAACAGGGCCAAACAGAAAATCACTCACATGTGCTTCATCAGCGTGACTCAACTGCATGACTTCACAGTGAGATTCAACCACCACCACCACCACCAATAAATCACAAACAATACATGACAGAAATCAAAATAGCAGGGTTCATGTTATGATTCCATTTATATGAACTGGAAAAGGGGTAAGAGATTTAGATGTTCCGGGTCACAACATCAGCCACCCTAAGGACAGTGACTGGGAGGAGCTGTCTGCCCAGCACTCTCCCATTATTTGAAAAGGAATTGTGTAGAGGCAGTTCGGTCTGTGGAATTGCCTAGTCCTCCACGGATGACCACTGATGCATAAAAATTCATTTTTTAAATACACGTCAGCAATTAAAAAAATATTTGGAGGGATGTGAATAGATGTAATTATTCTCTTATATTATCAAGGCATCGTGAAAAGTGCTAAATAACTCCACACTGTGATCAGTTTCTCAAAGTATGCAGCAGCATCTAGGTTAAGACCTTTGAGGTACAGAAAATACAACATCCTGTAAGAATAGAAATAAGTTAGCATAAGCATAGCCATCTTAAAGGCCTAGAAGCCATTTTCTGAGTATGTGACTTAGAAAGAAAAACTAGAACTGGGTAAGGCCTTGAAAAACAAGTTAATCATGAGCACCGGGTGATGGGCAGCTGTGACCCTTGCTCAGTTAATCTTACATACCAAGCTTATCGTGCAGAACCTCCCTAACCATTGAGGAGTAGTCTTACCCTGCCCTTGCTTAACCCCAGGATGTATGTCTTGCAAGAATAATGTATAGTTGTAGAAAATTACTATGAGTTAAGTGCTTTGAAATTGCTATATAAACCCTTGGCTCTGAGTGCTCGGGGTCCTTGTTGAGACCCGCTGCGACGGGCTGACTTGGACCCCAGCTAGCTGGCTGAATAAAGACTTTGCTTGAATTTACATCTCTATGCCTGTGTAGTTTGTTCTCTAGAGAAGCCTCGGAAGCCCGGACCCTAACAATCCAAAAATAGATTGAACAATAATCTAAAAACTTAACACAGAAAACAAAATGAGGAAATAGAACAGTGTTGTGAAGAGCACACAGTGAGTTAATACATCCAATCCCAAATATTTATTGTTATTCTAGACACACATAAACTTGAACATTCCTGTGAAAATCAATTGTTTTGACTACATTCAATTAGACTCTCAAGACACACAATAAAATGTAAGAGTTAAAGTAGGAAGTTAAAAATTCATTCCATGTAATTTTAAACATTTTTGACATGTGGTCTCACGATGTCTCTCTCCAGTGAGAGACTTATGTCACCAGCCACAGCCTGTCCTCTAGATACTCTAAGATAAACTTAACACAGGGATTTCTTGATCCTGTTCTTCCCCAAGACGGTGGCTCCCCTCAAGCAGTGGGGACAGATCAGTTAGGAATGTCCACCCTGCCTGAGGTCAGTTATCGGCTGATGACCATAAAATGTGTTAGGAATCTCACTTCCTAACTTCTTGGTTTTTAAAGTGGAATCTTAGCCTTAGGATGGAGTCTCTCCTGTTCTTACTATACTGTTTGTATCCCAGCATTTTTCATCAACACACAGGAAAAATTAATCCTGATGCTTGTCCCACATCCCAGCCCTGCCTCATAATGAGTCAACAACTGGATATTGTGAAAACACATGCAATATTCATGTTTCTGATAAGATGAGAGTGTTTTTTTATTCCTTATTCAGGTAAAGCAGAACCAGGATGCACCAGAGTTGCAGGTCACGAGCACAAAGGGGCTGACATGGAAAAAACAGAGCAAAGAGTGCAGACATGTTCACCATCACCCGACGGGATGACTAAATAGAGCCCAGCGTATGTGAGCGATGACAGAATTAGAGTAAAAAGCTACAGATTTCCTCGGCAGAGCAAGGATGCTCCCGGTGGCTCTGGACTCGGGGGAAGATCTGCAGGGGATATTTGTCCTGTGAACGTGTGGCAGCCTCTGTACAGGGTGAGAACAACGGAGCCTCTGGCCCAGAGCACGAGCCCCACACACACAACGTCTAGTGTGGCAGCAATGCTGTAAACAGGGAGACTCCGATCTTGCCCTTCAGTCCAACAGAGCAGCGCCCACACTCTCGTTTCCTGGTGATGCTCGTGCTGATCCACTTGCCGGTCACGCCAACAGGGAAAATGGCGTGGATCAGCACGGACAGAATCCAGCACAGGATGCTGGAGGGGCCCATGCACCCCGGGGCATTCCCCTTCAGCTCTGTTCACCTGGGGGTCCCGGGGCTGATGGGTGATGGCCTCGGAGACACTCAGGAGGCAGGTGCTTTCAATGGACACAGCCCTGGCCACACTACGATCATCACAGAAATGAAGTCTGTATCTAATGTCTTTGGGGAAATGTCTCAACGTAAAAGCTGGCATTGTCTGCAGAATTCAGATTTGGAGAGAATGACATCTTAATCTGCCCATGCCCCCAGTGAGGTGCCAGAAGAGATCTTGGTAAAGAGAGAAATTCCTCATGATTCCAAGTAGAGGCTGGGTCAATAAGATCATTCCTAGTGCCACACCCATGGCAGGACAGCCATCCCGTCAGCTCTCAGTGACTGATATTTGTCCTCAAAGCCAAGGGATCCTGCATGGAAAAAAGAGACACAGGCTCCATGCAGAGTGCCAACTGAATTCCAATATTCTCCATTTGTTCATAGTTTTTAAATTTTTTGTGTTTATTAAGAGACTTTCAAAAGTTGAATACATAGCCTTCAGAGAGAACTTACAATGTATCGATCAGTGCTATGAAGACTGTATGTGTGGTGTCTTATTTATTCTTCATAAATTAGACACCCAAACTACCATCACATTATAAATATAAAGGGAACTTAGACACAGATGGGTTAAAACATTTGCCTGAATTCCGGTGCTGGCTAGGGCAGCACATGGCATGTGAAAATGCCTGGCTGGTACAAAACCAGTGCATGAGACCGTGAGCTACACAGTGGAGCCTGTTAGCCACTGCTGGGGAGGAAGAAATTTCCTCTACCCCTGAGGTTATTCTAGCTGGTCTAGGAATGAAACTGAGACAGATTAACAGGGGAAAAGAGCCAAAGTTTAGCTTCCTATGTCTGGGGAAGCCACAGACAGGGGTCCCACTGCAGTCAGGGAGAATGAGGGGTGTATGTCATCCTGACCCCAGAAGCGGGTAGGGGCCTGAGACATCAAGGGAAAAGGGAAGCAATTCACAGGACTATGAAGAGAGTAAAGATTTGGTAAACAAAATACTTGACAGGCCACACAGAACTAGTGGAGTACTGAGAGAAATTTTAAGAACCAGATTCAGGCACACGCTTCCCAGCCCACCCGCCCAGTTCACATTCTAATGCAGCTGTCCATGGTGTGAGCTCGTCTCCTGGGGCACCTCCTCCACCTCATTTTTTATGCAGTTGTTGGGGGACAGGGAGGGAGGTCAAGGTATCTTGTAGATTCTTTTGTGCCTTGACGGTTTTCAACTCAAAATACTCTGCACGTCACAACGGCACATCTTGGGGCAGCCTGCCCTTGGTCCCTACACTAGCTTGTCAGATACACATGTGCATTTACTGTTGATATTTTGTCATAGCTTTGTTGTTTGGTTTTAGATTGGTGATAATTTTACAATTTGATCTTAACAAGGTTCCATGTATATGCATAGGTTTGTTCTATAGATCAAAATAAATGATGGATGAAGAATTAGAAACCTTAATAAATGCAGATGCATGGTTTGAAAGTTTAATACTACAGGAACCTGCCCCAGACTGAGTTGAACTTGATGAAGGGAAGAATGGCTTGACCTGAGAAGGGGGGAAAAAGATGGACTTGCATTGACGCCAGGAAAAAACTTGAACTGGAAACCATCATAGCAACTATTGAATAAACTCATGCCATGTCCCAAGTTACAGACCTGAAAGAATATAGCATGATAAAATAGTGTAGGGTAGAAATTAAATTATGACTATTCTCAGATTGTATACCACATGCTTCCTAATACACATATATATAAAATTATAAGCAATGATGCATGGTTCTTGAAAGATATTAAAGTATTAGTGACATATGCACAAAACTGAATCTCCAAGGCATAAATTCTTGTATATTTCATTAACATTTTTCTGAATTGATATTAAGCTACTTTTCAATCAAATAGATGATCACAAAACCATTCAATCCTGACACCTACTGTATAAAACTCAGAAAGTTACCTTTTCCATAAATGCTGTTTCCCTAAATTCAGGAGGGAAAAGTCAAACAAAAATCTACAGACCACAAGTGTAATCAATATGACCACAATAAATGTCTTCATTAATTGCATCTCATGTCCAATCAGAGAAAACTTTTCTAGTCTGGCAGTTATAACCCAAATGCACTGATTCTATTCAGACAATATGGTCCAAACAAATTCATCCTGCTCTTTATCATAAGCATGAACAGGTTGTAAGCACAAAGTTAGGAATCCTGAAATTTAGTTTTATTAAGGTAACTGGACAAGCAGATTCATCTCAGAACTACAGTCCTTTCTGAGTCCCTTAAAAATCAGGTTTCATTATCACATTGATTAAACACCAAACTGTCAGCATCAGTGATATGAAATCACATTAGGAGCCATCTCAATGGGTGTGAGGTGTGGGACCCCACCTGCCTTTTTTTCTTCGCTCAGCTCACACCTCTGCAATTATTCCTCCTTCCTGCGTAGCTATGATATTTGTGTTCACTCCTAGAAACACCACTTTTTTCCAACAGGATCACTGATCCAGACTCCTGACAGCCCTGCTCTCATCACAGACCCCGCCTCTCCAGCAGAAATACAGAACAGCCCCTCCTCCCTGCTGTGGGGACGCCCAGCTCCTGGGAAGGGCAGGCGCCCAGGGCGAATGCAGAGACAGGCCTGGGCGAT